TTTTGAAATCACTGGTGGTCTCTGTAATCTGATTGGCTCTAATTGGTGCGATTTATTCATGAACCACACCATTTTTTGCTATAAATCGCATCATTTTACGCTTGACTGAGTGTTCGACACATGACATCAGTCTTTCTGTTTTGCATACAAAATAAGATGTAAAAGTGTTTCTGGTTCCACTTGTTAGTTAAAAACCGGCTCAGTACTGCATCAGTAAAATATTTGAATTGACCAAGTCCTGTATTTGGACGATTTCAAAATGGATGTAATTAAGTGGTAATTGAACCTTGCGTCATGCAATTTTGGTCTGAAATCATACTTATGCTTTCAAATTGAACTCACGCTGCACGCTCGATTGATTTTGAAATCACATGTATGATTTCAGCCCAAACTGCACTCCACTCCGTTCAATTACCATTATAAAACACTTTCCAAACTGTTACTGGATCAATGTCCATATCTGACAAAATACTTACCCACCACTCCCCCAACCAAAAAATAGTCCACTGATAACAGTTAGGGTTAAAGTTGGTTATGAGGAGGGAGGGGTGTGGGTCTGTTGTTGCTCAACTACAGATATTGATCCCTGTTTTTCAACAAAATGCATAACAGCTCAAAAGGAGAATATTTAATTTAATCAAGGGAGGGTGGAGTTGAGCACCTTAGTACAAAGTCTTGACCAGGAATATGGATGGTCATTTTGATATGAACTGAAAAAAGGCACGTTCACTGACTCCTCAAAGAGAATCACACCAAAGAACCATACGACAAGAATAAACAGCCTTCTCCATAACACTTTCAACTGAGTGATCAAGCCTTTAGAACTTTACCAAAAGATACAAGTCAATTAACTCCTGCCTAGCTTGCGAAAATTGACACAAATGTCTGCACAGCTCAGCCAACAAACTTCCTTCCAGCAGGGACCCTGAGGAAGTGCAACTGTGGGTTGTTTCTTCTATTCTTTTGAACTCTATTATCAGAGTTTTGAAGTTGTCCCTTACAGGCTGTTAACAAAATAAATAGATTTCAACTCAGTGAATCAAATCAGAATGCATGTGGCTCCCAGAGCCTTCGTTGGCAGAGGAGCCTTTGACCTCTAGTGACACCTACTTTGTATCAAAGTCAGGTTACTCAAATCATTTTTTAAAACCCTCATTAGTCATTTTCTGTCTAAAAGATTGTAAAGTCTCATTGTTCAAGTGAAAGTGGTCCTAAAAATGATTGTTGTTCATTTGACGGAGGTGAATGACATTTTGACAGCCTCATTGAGGTCATTGTAAGAGTAAGGCAAGGAATTATTAGTCATTTGGTTATATCAATTAAGTTGAAATTATAAATTGGCCACCATAACAAATAAAAAAGCTGACGTTTCGAGCATTAGCACTTCGTCAGAGTGAATGGGGAAGGGCTAAAGCTCAAAATGTCAGCTTTTTTATTCGTTACAGTGGCCAATTTACAATTTAAACTTAGTTGATATAACTAAATTACCTTGTTACCCCCACCGACAAAACACCACAGTTTCTTTAGAATTGTCAGTCAAGCATTAAATCTGGTCAGCTTTTCTTACATACATCTTTCCTGAAGAACTTCTTGGCAATAAAAGGAAAAGAGAAGTATGTCTTTTCCGCCATGGCCAGATGTGACAGGGTGACAAGCAGTGAAGACCATGGTGTACTGTATACCAGTGGCAGTCTTTTTGTTTCTTTCTCTTTCTCCTACAAGAGAAAATAACCACAAATATAAAGTTACTGTCACTTCACAGCAGTTTCAGTTTCCACCATCACATACAAATTCTGCTGCTCTGACTTAAGACTCAGCTTTCCAAAGGGGCAAAGTTATGTTTCATTTTATCCCACTCTTTGTACCAAGAAATATTCATAGTCTGTACAGATTCACTATAGATAAAGGCAAATTTCAATCAAGGAAGTCCTTTTTGGGAAACCAGGGAAGATTAACTTCAGTGAAACCCTAGATGATAGTGGTGAATTATGAATTAAAGTTAAATGTTAAATATTTCAATTTGAACTTCCACTGTCAAATGTGCATGAATTAATAGTTTTTCTAGTTGTTGTAGTTCAATTTTATCCTTGGTTCAAATTTTATTTTCCTTTGTTTCAAACTCATTATCATACATTAACATGACCGAGAACAAAGGAAAATAAAATTTGAACCAAGGATAAAATTGAACTACAACACTAGTGAGTAACCCTCAAACTCCCAGAGGTGATTAACATGTGATTTCTCCCTAGTTCACACATACTTTCTCTAACAAACTGTTGACAATACTACCCAAACTTATCAGGTAGAAGTTTTAATCTTGATCTAACACCAAATTCTTGTAACTGTTCTACATGGAACTTTGTGTGGCAGCTAGAGTGGAGAGTTAAGAATCACAAAAAAAAAAAAAAAAATTTCACAGAACATTACCGCTTGATCTTTTGCCTTGTCAAAGGCCAACTGACTGAGGGCATGAAAAAATGTCTCCAGTAAAGCTTGTTCTCTAGAGATAGGTGGTATGCTTGGAGAAGGATTGGCGCCTCTCTTCTGTGTAAATATAAGCAAAACGCCATTGCACTGCAATCCGATTTTGAAATAAGATTATCAAGGTATTCATACCGGGTTCTAGTGCTGGAGAAGAAATGACAACTGCAATCCTTTAAGTCTAACTAGGCTAAACAAACAAAATAACGCCGTCACCACATCCGTTTACTTCTACCCCCACCCTCGAAAAATTCAACAAAAAAATGCTTAATCCAAAGAACCTCGAAAAACTACTGAGTTAAAGCTACTGATTAGTAATTTCACATTTGAAACAACATTTGAGACTCTCCTTTAAAACCTAAACTAACATATAGGATTCTTATGCTTACCTGATTCCATTTTGATATTTTTTTCAAGACAATTCAAAGCATTCCTAGGAAACAAACATCTCCTTTCACATCTAAATCTTCTCAGGGTACTGCAAAAGCGTCCGCCATCTTTGTTTAGGACATGCAACCAAGCCTTGTAGGCATACCAGTCTCTCGCTTCTCACTCGCCAGGTCACATGAATATGATGGAGGTTCGATCTTCCTAACAAGTTTTTTTTCGTCGACATTTCACCGGTAACTTCATTATATCACATGCTAGTCTAAGTATTCTTAGACTTCCCTTCACTTGAAAGAGGACTCATTCAATTTATTTGTTTGTAAATAGGAGAAGATCGTCAATTTTCTAGCGATCAGATTTGATTTACATAATGCAGTATTTATGTATTGCCGAAAATTCCTACATTTAAGAGAAAACACCACTTCCGTTTGGAAAACCATTTATACAATTTAAGTGAATCTGAATAATAGCTTGAGTCTTTATTTTCAGTCACTTTAAATACACTATATGTTGTAATATCCTCTAATGTAGATCAGCTCCGTTAAATTTGTGTCAGAAATTGTCAAGCCGTATCGTGTCGAAACAGCTGAGTTAACGTTTATATCATAATTTGTTTCCCTTCAGTTTCAAACTATGGCCAGTTACGAGAGCTTAGCAGATATGGCCTCAAACAAGGGCGTGGAAGATCCAAATCTTTCCTCAGGTAAAGTTTCTTCGTTTGTCTATCCTATTCATTTATTTATCTATTTAGTTATTTATTTGTCTATTTATTTAGGCTCTGTTTGAATTAATCTGCGTCCATATACTGGGTAATAAGTTGTTGGTATCATTGCTCAGGTGATTACAGAGATTTCTAGCACTCTGATTGGTTGAGGATTGTCACATATCCCACCGTAATCACCCAGTGTGGGGTGTTTATAGCTGGGGTGCTAAAGTTTTTGGAACAAACTGAAAAGGATCATGATCAGGAAATTAAGACCAGTAGAAAATGAACTCAAAATAAAAAATGGCAAAATGGTTATAGTGTGAGAAAGTGCAAGTGACTATGTCACAATTGATAATAGAGACCTGAAGCAAGCCATAACTGCAAAGGCTCGCAGGACATGGAAAAATAGTAGCATGGCATGTGCATTTTAAAAACTTTGTACATGACTTAGCAGTCTTCTGAGAAAGGAAATGGTTGACAACAAATTATGTAATTTCTTCATAATAACTCGGTTCAAATGTTCAAGAAACTACAATGGATGCCAATTGATGATGTAATACGGATGAAGAAATTGTGCATGATGTTCAAAATTGTGAACGGAGAGTGTCCGCATTATTTTACAAGGTATAGAACTTATGTAAAAAAAAACCCATTCTTATAATATGCGAGCTTCTTTTCATGATCATCTTGCTGTGCCGAAATGTCACTCCAACACAGGCCTTTGAACATTTCATACGAGTGCCACTTACTTATGGAACCATCTGGACGACATATTTAAAACTGTTACAGATGAAAGCAACTTTAAGAAACTTTTAGTGAACAATTTTTTACAAAGTAGTTCAGATCGTGAACATTCTACTATCTCTAGAACATTTTTAATATAATTATGCGCATGCTGTTCTTGATAATCAAGTTTTTATAATTCTTTTTAATACAGCTCACAATGTAAACTACTGGGTTACCAGTAATTGTGTTAGCTATTAAAGTTTATTTATTTATTTAAGTTTCCATTTGTAACTCAATCCTCAATCCTGCTTGAATACATATTTTTGAAGTTGAGGTGTGGTGCTATAGGAGACAGTAAACATATCCATCCATTTTTGGAAATTCCAGCTAAAATATTAACTAATTTTTTCAATGACATCTTTTTAGCCATAGCCATCCTAACTGTGAGGTACCTATCAGTTTGAATTTTATTGGCAGAGAGGGTATAAGTGTGACTTTCATGCACCTATTACAGAGAAAAGTAAAGCAGAACCAAAGCAATCCAAAATTACCTTCAATGCTCAATATTGAAAAGTGAAGTAACAGTTAAAGTCACAATTACTAGCAGTGAGCGCCACTTAATCTAAACCTGCTTCTTTCTTATCTTTGTATCTTTTGTAGCCATTGTTATGCCATTTGGATTGTTATCAGTTGAGAGTGAAGATGTTAGGAAACAGAAAGTCAACTGGCAGTCGTATGTTCAGTAAGTTCCAAACCCTTTCTCAACAAGAGATCTTAGCTAGGCATGCAAAATATTAAGTAGCTGTTCAACTTTTCTGATAAGGATTATCATGGTGATGACTGATGGTGTCTCTGAGAAAATTGGTGATAATAATGACCACGTTGATAGTATTAAAAGTGACAACAATTAAGACGATGATGATCCACAGGAACGACAAAACACATTTTATTCTCTGATACAGTAGTTATTCAGCTAAAAGACCCACCTTGGTATAAGATGCACCCTGAACTAAAGATTAAATGACAATGTCAAGTTCCCGGGTGGAAAATTTTGTGAAAATATACATGTTTACTCTGTTGCAAGGTGACTTACTATTAATTCTAATGATCCATGCATGTACAGGAAGAATAAAAATGTTGTGCCTTAGAATCAAGTAACTATGGTAACTTAATTAAAAATTAATTTAAAATGTTCGCTTCTAAGAACAAATTTGAACTTTTGTCCATTTTTGCATAATTGTAAACAGAGGAAAATGGCATCCAAATGACTGTATATTACTTCATATAATAATGTGATATTAAAGGAAAATTCATTATGATAAGTGGGATATCGGTTTTCAAGTGCAATTTAATGCAGAATTCGTTAGTCAAGTAATGGATTTTCCTTGAATTGCATAATTGAATATAAACAAGAAAAAAAGAAAACAGTATTACTTGATATAGTTGTTATAGATGCGAAACAATTAACAATTATTCCACGAGCGCGCGTTGGATATGAGATGATAGATAGCCAACGAGGCGCGTAAAAAAGTTAAATTAAATTATTAAATTTTATTAAATTTTTAGCTCCCTTTTAATTTTAAGCTGACATGTATGCTTGCCATATTTGTAGATTATGGTATATTGGCTGATATACCATAATGGCTAAGCCAATAAAAAGTCTTGAATTGCATTATCCAATGATCTAGTTTTTAATAATATCACTTAGCCTTGTTGTCAAATTGCAATTCTATGCTAAATACCTTGTTTCGTTAAACCAATCAGAATGTGAGATTTTAATCAATGATGGGATTGTCTGTTTAATTTTATTAGAAGCCAAATGATAAACCAGGAAGATTATACAATGATAGCTGATTATGATTGCATGGGAGCTGAAGAAAGAGGAAGAATTCTTGAGCAGAAGGGAGATCAGGTATGAAAATGTGATAAGTGTGCAAAAGACCATCAAACTTCATTTCTTGAGAACTGCCTTGAATGATTTCCTTCAATAGATTTGATTTTCGCTACATTTTTCTTTTTCAGTTTGCCAAGAGCTGTTTGTCTATGCTTACTCGACTATCGCGTGATCAGACAATCAGATACATACTTGTCTTAATTGATGATGTGCTTACTGTAAGTATTTCAATTCATATTTTGTCAAAACAGAAAATTAGTGGAGACTAAAACAGGTGTTGAGTTTGTGACCATGTCTGTTTGATGTTAAAGTCCAGTGAGGCACAATGTTTTATTTTGTCACTTTGGTTAATGACAGTGAAGTTAACAAGAAAATTTACAACGGACAATCAAATTAGAATTTATTCAATAAGAATACTTGATCAAAAGGGAATGTTGTATTACTATCAAACCAATCATGTTCTCTGAAATGCCTAAAGGCAAAAACATGAAAGTGCCTTCTAAAAAAAGTGTGATAGAAGATGCAAAAAACCATCCTGTATTTCTCCCACTCATAATGATAATGGTTTGAATTCAAAGTGAGAAATTTGAACATCCTTGTTAATTCTTTCACTTTCAGGAGGAAAGAAGCAGAGTGTCTATATTTCATGAATTTGGTAAAAGGTAAAATTTTCATTAAACTGAATTTTTATATTGATTTTTCTGCCTCTTATGTGCCTCCAGAGAAATGAATGTTTTTTTGTTTATTACCCAGGGCAAACATCAATGTGTGGACTTTATTTCTGAAGCTTCTTAACAGGCAGGATCAATTTATTGTCCATCAGGTAACTGTTGGGCATTAATCATGTATCTCTAAGATGAACAACAAACAAATTCTCCTTGTGATCAACATTCTCTTTCTCCTTGTTTGTCTCTTGATTTGTGATGTAATAACTAAAAAGTCTTTCTTCAGGCAATCTAGAGCTGTCAACCCTTCAGATTTTTTGTATCATGGAATTATTATAATTTTAGCTTTTTTTTTCACAGCTGTATGTAATGTAATTCATTTTCATTGTATTATTTCAGACAGGTATTATTATAGCCAAGTTGGCTTCCTGGGGAAAGGTTTTGTTGCCGGATTCTGACCTTAATTATTTCCTGTCCTGGATGAAAAATGGTCTGGCATCATCAGTAAGTATTAACTGGCATTGAATTCTTTCTGACATTATATCACCCCTGAATCAAACATTGAATTCACAAGAATACAGGAAATGATCACCAACTGAAGAAGCTCTTGATTGTTAAACAAATTCTCCTGTCAGCTCCCTAGAAATGTATGGAGAAAAGTATGAAGAATATGCATGTTGCAGGTAAAAATTAAATTCAGGTAAAAAAAAAAACTTAACCTAGGATGAATTTCAATTTCCTTTGTCTCAGAGCCCTAATTATTCACAATCAGGACTTGGAGACAAAGAGAATTGAAATTCAACCTAAGTTAAATTTTTTTTACCTGAATTTAAATTTTTACCTGCAACATGTACACTGAGTCAGGGTGTTAACCTGTAGGGGTAACCTTAAATTATTTTCATCAGGCTGTACAGTGTGCCTGTTAACAAATGAAGAGCTGACACAAAAATACAAACTTTTAATACTTACTTACTGTCAGATCCATTTGTCTTAAAAGGATTTTTTTTTTTTTTTTACAATTAAGGGAAATGGATACCATCATAGTGTAGCTCAGTGTCTTCAGCTGATGCTGAGACATCAGGTCTACAGACAAGCATTTTTCAAGGCAGATGGCATTCAAAGGTACGCTTAAACAGAAAGATAGCCAAAAATTCCCCTCACTTCTTGCACACAGGATGCCCAACTGAATTACAGCGCACCCTTGCTTGTCCCACCCAACCCCCAGAATTTTTTTTGATTCCTTTACCCATTTCCTTGTAACCAGCTATATTCCCAAGGAGGGGAGTGGAGGGGGGAGACTGGTGTAATTCACAAAGCATCTTTAACCCTTTAACTGCCACAAGTGATTAACATGAAAATTGTCCCTTTCATATTTGAGAATATTCAAATCAAGTAGAAGTAGTTATCTTGGTCTAACAACAAATTCTTGCAAGTAATTGACAAAGAAATATGCAGGAGCTAGAGGAGAGGATCAACAATTAGATCGTGGAAGTTAAAAGGTTAAATGATTTACAGTCTTGGTTAATCTTCAACTCGTATATTTGATGCTTTCTTTTCTTTCTCCTCTAGTGTTGTGTCCGCCCTTGTGGCTCCTAACATTGGTTTCCAACTTCAATACCAGCTGATTTTTGTTCTCTGGCTGTTGTCATTTGATCCAAGGATTGCGGAGCGAATGATCGGGTAATGAACTAGTAAAACTCAGTCTTTGTTTTTTGTAATACTGAAGTATAGGAAGAATCTTTTCAACTGGAAGGGTTGTACACTAGCACATTCTTGGAATTTGAGAGGATACCAAGATATTCCATGTCCTGAAACCAGAGTTCACAAACATCCTTGGACCCCCTCCCCCTCAGTTATGCTCAGGCGATAATAAAAGTAGGTCACTCGCTGAGCTACAACTTGTAATAATAACACTTAAATCTTCTTTTACAGAAAGAGTGCTGTTATTCGTGTGATAGCCGACATCCTCAGAGAATCAGGCAAAGAGAAAGTGACTCGGATTATTATTGCCACGCTAAGGGTAAGTTTGGTGAAGACACTTTTTTAAAGTAAGTTTCATTTTATTGTTGGGTAGCTTGGGGAAGAGACGTTGCCTTTTTGCGTTTTACAAGTGAGCGGAGGCGAGCACGAGGAAAAGGCGTGGAAAGCGCGTGAAAAGCGCGTGGAGAGCGCGAAGAAAGCGTGCGAGGCAAGACACGTGCAAGTGGAGGAGCGTGAAAGGAATATTGCCACCCCTACCCTACCCTACTGCTTGACTTGCCTTTCGTGTACTCTCTATGCGCGCCTCGCACGCGCTTTCACGCCTGAAAAACGCAGAACAGATAACTTCTGTCCTGCATGTTATTCTTATAGGGAAGATACTTTAATTCAAGATGAAGTAACTTTGTCGTATACACGTATCATAAGTAGTTAAAATTATCATAAAAACCTAATCAACAACTCTTCTCTCGTGTACAAATGAAGTGATGAATTTGAAGGTGCAGTTGTAGTTTGTAGTGATGATCAAAAAATATTTTCTCCTCACTTCATAATATGTTGTCAAGTACGAAGGTGATGAGAGTATAGAAAAGTATCAGTTAGGGAGTAAGGTGTTTAAGTAAAATCCAAACAAAAGTTCCTCCTTTTTTTTTTTTTTTTTTTCAGAATTTGTTGGAGAAACCAGAAGAGAAGAAGAACGAGGCAGCATTGTCCATGATTCAATGCAAGCTTCTTCCTGTAAGTTGACAACTTTTAGATTTTTCCTCATTTTTTTTGTTTGAAATATTCCAGCCTCTATGAAAAAACCTCCTGTCCTTTTCCTTAGGTTCTTTCAGTGTTGAATGGCAAAACCTGGGTCGATGAAGACATAACGGTATGAGGTTTTCTTAAGTTTTAGAATTGTTTAAAAAGTAATTTCTCGTAACAATGTCTATTTACTATTCAGTAAACAGTCGATCCAGACGAAGAAACTTGTCAGTTAGAGGAATTTAATGCGATGTTGATGTAACTTCAAATTCTCTCACCTAATTTACAAGGAAATTCATGGTAGCTAGTAGGAAGAATTGGCAATTTTATCCAAGAAGATAGAAAGCGCAATTTCGGACCCTGGGTTTTAGAAGTGTTTAAAAAATAATTTCTCGCAACAATATCTATCTACAATTCAGCAAACAGTAGATCAAGGTGAAAAAACTTGTCAGTTGGAGGATTTTATATTGATGTTGATGTAGTACCAAATTCTCATGCCAAATTTACAAGGAAATGTATATTAGCTAGTAGGAAGAGGTGACCATTAGATATAAGAAGGTGGAGGCGTAAGAACCTTTTTGAGGTTCAGCAAATGAGTAAAAACCAGCATGCAGGAAGCTGCAGCTGAGGTAGCAGGAAGCGTGCAGGAAGCGTGCAGGAAGCGTGCAGGTGAGGTAGCAGGAAGCGTGCAGGAAGCGTGCAGGTGAGGTAGCAGGAAGCGTGCAGGAAGCGTGCAGGTGAGGTAGCAGGAAGCGTGCAGGAAGCGTGCAGGTGAGGTAGCAGGAAGCGTGCAGGAAGCGTGCAGGTGAGG